GTTTGTGGATGTGAATGTTGAATGTGAAGTAGTGAAGTTACCTTTTATTGTATCATTCCTTTCTCCTCTTCATCTCCTCTCTAAACATATGAAGTATGGTTTTTTAATTGACTAGTATTTCTTAGAGTATGTAACTAATCTGAAACCATGTCAGAATAAACTAAATAGTTCACAACTACATAAATCCATCTTCAAATAGCACTGTATCACTGCTTGTGGAGTGCAGATTACACATTATTCCCAGTCTGTCCTCCTACAAGTTTTAGCTCTTTGTGTGAGGAAAGTTTTTACTTAGTTTCATGGATAATTTTTTTATACATATTCTAGTTTCTTTTTTATTTCATGCATTTAAATATTTCTATCTTTTCCTTTATTGCTAATTTCTGACAATGAGCCTCTTATAAATTTTATCGTTGTTATTCTAATAGTAAGAATGCTTTTCATAACACTTCTTTCAAGACTTTTCCTTTGTTTTTGGTACTCTGACATTTGGATGTCAATTTTCTTTTGTTATTATCTTCTTTCCTGCTCAGTGTCCTGCAACCATACCAGGCTAGGTGAGATCACATTTCTCACAGACAAAAAAGAGAATTTGGAGCTTGTGGTATGTTTTGCAGTCCTTTAGTGTTGAGACAGGGAACACTACACACAGGCAGGCATAGAAAGCAAGAGAGATTCCAACTCTGAGTGGCAGAACAGCAACTCCACTGCCCAGGCACCTTTTCACTGTTAAATGCCCATAGTCACACAACTGACACACGTAAGGCCCACCTGGTGTTTGCAAGATGCCAGAATGTAAACGTAAGGCCCACCTGGTGTTTGCAAGATGCCAGAATGGTGAAAACACAGCATCTCAAGGTATGCATTCTCTGTTTTATGGAAGGTGAAAAAATACTGATTCACTCACTCATTTTCCTTACACTCGGTTTTCTGAGTCTTTGGCAAGGATGTGGAGAAAAAGGAACTCTCCTGCACTACTGGTGGGAATGCAAACTAGTACAACCACTATGAAAACTGTTTGCAGGTTCCTCAAACTGCTAAACTTGGAGATTCCCTACGATCCAGAAATCCCACTCCTAGTTATCTACTCAAAAGACACAAAAACACTGGTTCAAAAAGATACCTGCACCCCCATGTTTATTGCTGCTTTATTCACAATTGCAAAGACATGGAAACAGCCCAAA